TCCCCTCCCTACTCTTTTGAGCCACAGGCACCGCCCCCCTGCATGATTCTCTTAGACTGAATATCTCACAAGAAGAGCTAATTGAGCCCCTCCTTTCCCTAGGGAGGCCTGTGGGGAGAAATGATGCCTCTTCATGGTCCTACTGTCAGTGAGCCTGTCTTTTGCCAGCTCCCAACACAGTTGGCCCCTAGACATTCCAGTGGAGTCTACAAATGTCTCTGCCTCCCTCAAACTCCTAGAAATTCAGATCATTTAACTTAAGCTGAAGTTTTCTCACTTGCCTGGAGGAGGGGGCAGCACATTGCTCAATTCTATAGTGAGTATGTGGTCAACTGATAATTTGAACAGGAAACCCATTAACAACCACTACTTCCTGTGCAGTATTTGAGTTAGATAATGTTATTATCAGGTCATAAGCCCCAAATCTCCTAGTAAGGTAAATGTCAGTAAGCTGAACAAGACTACTGTATACTTTTAATTTGTTTGACCTCAACAGGCTTTGATGAAAAGTGAATCCAATGATACCAGAAAAAGACAGAGTTGGACAGAAAAGAGTCTGTTTACCTAAGATGTCTATGGTTGAACAAGTGGAAATTGTGGACAGGCCATAGTAAGAAAGAGAAGGGAGAGAAAGGGGTAGGAAAAAGAGAGATACAGAGACAGAGAGAGAGGAAGGGCGGATGGTTTTGAACTTCACGGCCCTGCCTTAGAGTAGCTTTAAATATGACATTCATGAGATGTACCTGCAGGTACCTCACTACCATTCCACCCACACCCATCACCTGCTGAACGTGAGATAGGATTTCAGTTACCCCTTCTTTGACATCTCTAACCCTAAAACTTTACAGGATTGATCCTCTATTTCTACAGATTTCCTTGTGCGAATATTCTCTTAGTTATTCACTTACACTCTTTGTGTCAAAACCCATGTGGATAAGGATTTTGATTATATTTTCAGCCCAAAAGTTTTCATCCAGGGCTAAGATGATGGCCAGTGTCTCATCTGGGTAGCTCATCATTGTGTCTCCCTGGACAGCCCAAATTCTTGCATTGCTGCCATTGATTTCTGCCTCCCAACCAAAAGAAATTTGCAATAATTCACTTAATTGTGTTATCTCTGAGTGCTTCAGACTCTTCATGGTTAATGGGATAGTAGAAGTTCTATCTTATAAATAAATTAGTAGATATGAAGGTCTTGTATTAATGTCTAGCACATAATAAGCACTTAAGTGTTAGCTTCCATTATTATTGTTCTCATAGTGGTTCTTGGAATATAAATTAAACTCTAAGTTAAATCCATTTTTATTGATGTAGAGATAAATTATTTAGGGTTAATGTTAGGATAAAGAAAATAAAATCGGCTTGGCACCTGTGGCTCAAGTAGCTAAGACACCAGCCACATACACCTAAGGTGGCGGGTTCAAATCCAGCCCAGGCCCGCCAAACAACGATGATGGCTGCAACCAAAAAATAGCCAGGCATTGTGGTGGGCGCCTGTGGTCCCAGCTACTTGGGAGGCTGAGGCAGGAGACTTGCTTGAGCCCAGGAGTTGGAGGTTGCTGTGAGTTGTGATGCCACGGCACTCTACCCAGGGGGATAGCTTGAGGCTCTGTCTCAAAAAAAATAAAATAAAATCTAGGATACACCCAGGTTAATCATGAAACTCTTGGTAATTGCAAAGCTATGTGTTATGTATTTTTCATTAGGCTCTTGAAAGTTACAGTTAAATGGAATTTTTGAAAAATGCCTATTTTTTCCAATATAACTCTCTGAATGCTTTTGTTGGTTTTTTTTTTTTTTTAACATTTTTCTATTTCCTCAGGAGAAAGAGAGGTAGACCTAGAATCAATGTTCCTCTGAGTGACAGAGGTCCAGGGAAAAGATACCAAAAAACAGGCAAAAAAAAAAAAAGAATAAATACATTTTAAATAAATAAGCATCTAAATTCTCATGATTTCTTCTGTGGTTTTAGTAGCAAATGTGTTCCCATAATTTCATTATGTAGTGGTACTTATTGTTAAGAAATATATCCAGTTTAGTCAATTTCCAAAATGTATCAGGTAAACAAAAATAGTAACACCACAAACAAGTAAGGTGGTGATCAATCTGCAACCAGTCCCCGGGGCTCCCTGCAGTGCTATCTCTGCTGACAATCACTTTTGAGATAGCAGTTAGTTGTCAGCGTTAAAAACCAGTGTAACTCACAAGTGATGTAGCTGTCCCTCCTCTTGCACATGTGGTAATTGTGTGTACTTCTGTCTGCCACTTCACCTCTTCTGCCTCAATTTAATTATCTGTAAAGTGAAATTAAGTGAGTTACACTGACTGCCCTTTGAAGCCCATACCAGCTTCCTACATGGCTTCACATTCTATGAATCCCACACCAGACTTGGCAAAGACCATGGACAGCTCCCTTCCCTGTGCTGTGAAAGTGGAGTGTCCTATTTAAGAGATTCCCAGGCAGTAGGTGAAGTCCCACCAAATACCCTCCCTCCACCCATCTCCCCCTACCCCTTCCTTCACCATCCTCCTCTCTCCTTTCTGGGCTATAATTGTGTTTCATCTTTTGTATGAAAGTGTGGGTGGTTATATATTGATTTCATAATAGTATTGAGTACACTGCGTATTTTTTTCCATTCTTGAGATACTTTACTAAGAAGAATATGATCCAGCTCCATCCATGTGAACATAAAGAGGTGAAATCACCTCCTGTGTATATTGCAAGCATACATGTCAACTATATTAACAGTAGAGTATAAATGTCTAAACACAACAATTGAGTAAGTGAGGTGAATGATATGTTGACCAGTTTGATGTGAATATTCTAGATTGTACATAGAGTCAGCACATTGTACCCCATAAATGCAGTAATGTACACAGTTATGTTATAATAATAATAATAATAAAGATTCCCAGACATTGCTGAGTAGAAGATTAGCAATAGCAGCTCTTGATCCTCAAGTTCATTTTAAGATCAAGGCCT